AGTACGAACACGATCCGGTGCTACCGCCTCCGTTCGCGCCGGTGAGTTGGGGCCGTGTGTCGGGGACGGAACGTCGCCTTTTACCTGCTCGATCAAGCTCGCGCAATCTCTCACGAGCTGCTACAACCCTATCCTGCAAGGTTTCCCGCTCCCCATCAGCGAGACTCCATGCCGGGATCGTGATGGCTACTATCTCCAGGAGGCGGGGCCAAAAGACGTCGCGCCTCGAATCGTGCATGGCTGGATTCGGGCACGCCACCATCCTAGAGCTGTCCGACGGCGCGGTAGAGAGCAGGTGGTTCTCCACGAAGGTCATCGCGCACGTAAGATGTACCCTGCATGAGCACGGCGCGGTGACGAGCGGGCGTTGCCAAGCCCCGTTCTGATGGCATACGACGCAGACCCCGTCCGTCGCCCCTCGCGGAGAAGGCGTTGCAGTCGGAGCAGGTGGCGACGGGCCGCGCGAAGGAGGAGGAGAACGTGTGTAGACGTATGTGGACGGGGCCGGCGATTCTGTGGGTTGTCTCCTCGTTCCGACGCGAACTGGCCTGCGCGGCCCGAAGTCTCGCAGCTGGCCCCTCATTGTTTCGATCCGCGCGTCTAACGCCCGCTGATCCGCTTCGTTTTCGTAAAAGTTGAATCGGGCGTGCTCCGGTAGAACGACCGTTGCTTGAAAGCCGTGATCCTGTCTTGTACGCTGGTGCGGGCACGAAATAATGTCGCGTCCGCTCGCCAGGGCGTCGTGCAGTTAATCTTCTACGAGTCCCACCGCGCATCGAGTGTGGTAGTGANGTTCTCCACGAAGGTCATTGCGCACGTAAGATGTACCCAGCATGAGCACGGCGCGGTGACGAGCGGGCGTTGCCAAGCCCCGTTCTGATGGCATACGACGCAGACCCCGTCCGTCGCCCCTCGCGGAGAAGGCGTTGTAGTCGGAGCAGGTGGTGACGGGCCGGGCGAAGGAGGAGGAGAAAGTGTGTAGACGTATGTGGACGGGGCCGGCGATTCTGTGGGTTGTCTCCTCGTTCCGACGCGAACTGGCCTGCGCGGCCCGAAGTCTCGCAGCTGGCCCCTCATTGTTTCGATCCGCGCGTCTAACGCCCGCTGATCCGCTTCGTTTTCGTAAAAGTTGAATCGGGCGTGCTCCGGTAGAACGACCGTTGCTTGGAAGCCGTGATCCTGTCTTGTACGCTGGTGCGGGCACGAAATAATGTCGCGTCCGCTCGCCAGGGCGTCGTGCAGTTAATCTTCTACGAGTCCCACCGCGCATCGAGTGTGGTAGTGACATCCACAGGGCGGAGACATGGCAGCCCCTTGACCTATTGATTCGTGACAAACTCCGCAGAGATGGCGAGGCGCGTGCGTTTGACTCGCCTCCCGTGCGGTCGAGCGAGCCACGTCCCTCTCCGATCTCGCTGCTCGAAAAGCATCAGAAACTACGNTCGTGCAGTTGATCTTCTACGAGTCCCACCGCGCATCGAGTGTGGTAGTGACATCCACAGGGCGAAGACATGGCAGCCCCCTGAACTATTGATTCGTGACAAACTCCGCAGAGATGGCGAGGCGCGTGCGTTTGACTCGCCTCCCGTGCGGTCGAGCGAGCCACGTCCCTCTCCGATCTCGCTGCTCGAAAAGCATCAGAAACTACGTCGTTCCCGTGCTGCTGTTCCAAGCTGGTACTCGTCTCTGAGATGGTGGACCCTATCCGGCACATGGGACAGTGGAGGGTATCGCCCACTTCCCGCACGCATGCCCTCGCATAGCAGCCCACACACATCGCATGACCGCAGCTAACGAGGTTCACAGACGGTTCGCTGACATCTCCTAAACAGATGCCACACACCAGTGGTTCAGTAGGCGCTGCTGCCGTTTCCGCGGTGGCCGAAGAAGGCGTGTGTTCCGGCGAGGCCAGCGCTGTAGTTGGAGACGTGTCCCGAGGCTGGGCGACTGTCCGTTGCTCCGGCGAATGCGACGAACACTGTTCCCGCCGGGGGGGACGCTCCTCTGACTACAACTGCTGCGATGGCGTCGACCGCTCCGGGGGCAGTGCAGTCGGGCGACCCGTTGGCTGGGCTAGATCGCTGGTATCCGTCTGGGCCAGGGACTGCGGGGCAACTCGGTCGTCGTGACGAGTTTCGGGGGAACTGCCTCCCTCCGAAGGAATAGAGGACCCTGACTGCGGTTGACTTGGTGTGATGAGGGCAATCGGGACGGCGGGCCACGTGGGGAGCAGGTCTGCGACTTCCCCAACTGCAGCACTTGCTACGTCCGTTCTTCGGCCCGAGGGGGGAGCAGAGTCTCCCCGGCGTGCCTCGGGAGGTGTCTCCCCGGTGTCTGCCTCGGGGGGTGTCTCCCCCGGGTCTGCCCCCGGCAAATCCCCTTCCTCGGCGTGGCCTCCTCGTAGCCTACTTCCTACCATGGGCCGACTTCGTGCGCACGGTGGTTCTGCTGGCGCTGCATTAGCGTTCGGGAAAGGGTCGAGGCCCAGTCTTTGTGCGCGGTCGGTGACGCCTTGTGCGCTTGCTGATGGTTGGACAGGGGGGGCGGCAGATACCTGACGCCCGACCACGGCGCTGGTGTGCGACCGAGTTCTCGTCGAGATGCGGCCCTCGTTGGCAAACCCCTGGTCCCGAGTCCCGTCGACGCCCTCGTCCGAGCGCCTCGTCGCTGCCAGCCGAGCAGATGGGAGGGTGGGATGGTCTGCCGGGAACGGTCAGGGAGTGGAAACCGAAACTGGAAGAAATATTTCGGAAAGCGGACCAATTCGGAGTAACGGTAGCTGGAGGAGTTGAACAAGTTGCGATGGACCCACAACTGGTTCATCAGACAGGTCATTGGGTAGTCCAGACGGATTGCCTTCAACACGGGCGAGCGCGCCGCCATAATGGCTCAGGCCGCAAAGAGCGTCCCAGATCTCGTGGGGTACATCGCCAGGTGTTACGACGAAATCCCGGCAAAGGCGATATACGCGATGGACTCCGGAGAGCGTCGGACGATCGAGTGCAAGAGCGGTGTGCAGCAAGGAGATGAAATGGGACCGCCCCTGTTCTGCTTCATCCTAGTCCCGATAGTCTTGAAGCTTAAGGCCAAGTACGACCACCTCGGGGTAAGCTTGAAAGCTTATATGGACGACATCAGCCTGCACTTCAAAAATATCACAGCGGAAAATATTCAGGTGATACCGGACCTCGTCGACGAACTAGAAGCTGTGGGCACCATCGTCAACAGGGGGAAGAGCTCAGCGCTTCCCCCACCAGGGCACGACGTGACGCCAGCAGAAAGGAGGCTACTTGGCGATGCAGGCCTACCGATTGCGGAGGAGGGCATCACAGTTGTGGGAGTCCCCATTGGGACGGATACCTACGTCGAGGATTTCGCAATGAAAGTGATAAGTGAAGGGGGTGCAGACAAGCATGCTCGCATGCTGGTGCGCATACCAGACAAACAGATGGCTCACGTCGTCACATCACAATCGCTGACACAGCGATCCGGATATATCGAGAGAGGCATCAATCATAAGCTAGTGAAAGGGGCTTGTAAACGCCTGGACAATATGGTGATGTGGGTCCTAGAGGCAACGATGGGGCTCAGAGATACCGAAGTCGAAGAAGAGTTCTTCCAAGACGACTGCCAGCCTGACCGCTTCAAGTTAAAGCCCTATCAACAAGCCCAGGCGCGCCAGTCGATAGGAGCCCGGGGACTAGGATTACCAGCAGCCGTTATGCGAAGGTTCTCAGCTTCTCTGGGCAACCTAGTCGGCACCCTTCCTGCGGTTATAGCCGCGTTACGGGGTCCATTGGGAGAGTCGGCGAGAGTTCGGATACCGGGAACCGTGTTGATGGAGCGGATTGGGGACGCTATCAAAGAACTCAACCAGGAGCATGGAGTATCGGTGGAGATTCTGAAGGGGATCCTTCCCCCGTCATGGGTTGAGTGGGCCTTAGAACCGGCAGGAGAAACCGGAAGGCGTCAGCCCACCGTTGCAGAACTGGCAGCACACGATGGGGAATCTACTACGCCGAGGAACGCCCAGCACAAACTGGGCATGGCGGTTAACAAGATACAACTTGAAAAGTTCATGGAGTTTCTGGAGCACCTCCCTCAGGAGGCGGTACCACCCACGAGGGACAACCCCTACGGAGGTCAAGAG